GATTGGAGAAGGCTGCCTGGTAAGGTGCTGCTTTCGGCTTTTTAAAAACTGTTCTGGTTTTGGGCTGGGGGGTTATGTTTCTGTGCTGTGATGGGTTTTGGGGGGTTGTTGGTTTTTTGGTTCCCCCCCATTTCCGATGGGTCTTGGGGGGGTTGGTTGCTTTTTGGGATTTTTTCCCCCATTTTCGATGGGTCTTGCATGCTTCCCTTGCTTTTTCCTTTGTTCTCTTTGCATTTCGGACCTGATCCCTTTGTTTTCTGTGCATTTCCAAACTGCATCCTTTGTTCTCTGTGTATTTCTGAACTGCTGCCTTTGTTCTCTGTGCATTTTGGACCTGGTCCCTTTGTTTTCTGTGCATTTCGGAACTGCATCCTTTGTTCTCTAGGTATTTCCAAACTCCCTGTGCATTTCCGATGGGTCTTGTATGCTTGATTGCTTTACTTCCCCCCCCCCTTTCGACCAGAAGGAAATTAATCACGTTTCAAATGAGTCTTGCAGTGACTTTTTTTGTGATTGTTTTCTTCGGCCGGAATGGATTGATTGCTTTTCAGTGCAATTCAATGGGAAATGGTGCTTCGACTTATGACCATTTTGACTTATGCCCATCTTCCTGAACCAATTAAGTTCGTAAGTTGAGGCACCACTGTATTTGTCACCCAGACATAATTCCTAAAGAAAACATGTTGGAACAGGAAGTCACCCTCAAAGGCATAAGTTCGGACTCTGTAGTATTGCCAATGGCTAACATTGAGTTACCAAGGGTGGTTTGGTATATGGAAAGTAGCTGTGTCAGATGAAATCCCAGCTCCTTGTCTGATTGGTTTGGATTTCTCAAAGTATGTGCAAAGTGTTTGCATGGTAACCCACTCCCAGGGGAGGCAGATTGTAGCTGCTGAGGAAAACATGGGACTCTCAGCCACTGAAACTCATTGAAAGATCTGGTTTAGGGGAACATCTTGAACCAAGGGAAACTGCTGATTTGATGCTGATGAAAAATCCTAATAGTTCCTCTTTTATTAAGGAACAGAAAGAAGATAGCACCATAAATGACTGCTTTGAAAAAGTTAAGGAAAATCCTATTCCACTGTTTCCTGAACATCCAGAGGGGTATTGTGTGAACTAAGGCCTATTGTACAGGGAGGTTTTAATTGCACCTTATAGGGGTGGAGAAGAGCCCCACAAACAGCCAATTGTCCCTATTAAATACTGAGAAAAGATTCTGGAAAAAGCGCCCCATTAGTTTCTATGGACTGAAAAGACCAGATACAGATTAAATGGTTTTCAGTGCATTCCTATGGGAAATGCAGATTCGACCTACAAACTTTTTGATTTACAAACTGCCTTCCAATACGGATTAAGTTTGTAAGTCAAGCCCCCACTGTAATGTAACAAGAACATTAACTGAATGTGAACAATATTGTATCCAAAAAGATAAAAATAAAAAGAGAGGAATGTCACGACCCAGGTTCCCCTAGAGAATACCTGGTCGGCGGACAGAGAGTAATTAGGAGTTTTCACACCCTTGAAGTGCTGAGTGAGTCCAGGAATCTCAGCAAGGCCTGTGAAACACCCTCTTACAAGTCTGCCCTAATAAGAACATCACTGTACCTTAGGATATTTCAGGTAGATAACCATGTGAGTTTTGTAGTCCTTAGACATACTATGCTCCACAGGTCAGGACTCATTAAGTAAAGTGGCCAAGGCTATACCCTCAGATGACCTAGGACAGTTTACTGTTCAAGAGACCAATTGATATTTATAATCATTGTTTTATTAAAGAAAATAAAAAGTTCCATAAAGAAAAAGTCAGTTTATGCATAAGCATGCAAAAGATCATTTTGCTGGTTAATTACAACACAGTAGTGAAGTAAAGAATCCATGAAAAATATAAAAACACTAAAAATAGCAAAAGTCCCAAAAATCCATGAAAAGAAGTAAAAGCTGTTCAGGAAGGCAAAAAGGCAGGTGCCTCTCTTCTAATCCAAAATGGTGACCCATAAGAAAAAGCATAATGAAGAAAATAGTCCAAGAAAGTATAAATGTCCAATGTCCATCATTATCCTGTAAAAAATCCTATTCTATTAATCCTACTCATCCTACTCAACAAAAACCTAACAATCATATCTTTCTAAGTAATCATCTTCATTCTCATCCAAAAATCTAATGGTCTAAATTGTACTAGTCTATGTCCATATTCCACTAATCAACGTCTATAGGCAAAAGTTTCTTTTTCAAGCTTAGCTGGCACATCCCTTATCTTCCACTTCTCACAGTGTCATCCAATCACGGCACGATGCCTGGTAAACAGTCCCTCTTTATCTTCTGTCTTCC